TAAACGGTAGTGGTCCCGTCACCATAAGCCCACCCCAGCAAGTAACAAGCTTGGCTCAGCTGCCAGCAACAAACTAAGATGTACTGTGCTCTTCAAATGAATAAAAGTATTGCCATCCACTGCAAATTCTACTATTCACTCATATGGGGAAGAGCTGACGCTTAAAAGGGCCACGTGAGTCAGCCAAAGGATACAGCTCTACTCTATTAACTCAAGTCCACTTAAAATTTCTCAAGATAGAACACCAGTAGGAAGCCAACCGTGTTAGGGCTCTTTTCAACTCTCTCATTTTACAGATGAAAAACTGAGGCCAGAGGGCAAAGCACCAAAGATAGCAGCCCTGCTGTGAGCCAAACAGAGATCCTCTGAGGACTGGCTAATGATTGGAGAAAAGAGGACTTTCTGATCTCAGTTAGCTTTAGTTTGTTTGTGTAAGCTTTAATTAAGAGCTTAGAATCGTGAAGTTTTGCATACACTCCCAGATCTCTGGCTTCTCTTGAAAACCTCAGGTATCTGTCAACTGTGGATACTATCTGGCCTTATCAGCAGAGCTGGAGAGTAACTGCCCTAGACAACTGGACACAAAGTGTCCAGAGGCCACAGCCTTGCTCACAGTAAGCACTTCTTCCCTTGTTGCCAGGGGCCTTGGAGATGATAAAATTTGTTATTCATCCTCTACATCATACTCAGCAAAAGTAAAACATATAGCTATGAGATACTTATATACAGCCATCATTGACTGGTATGTGTGGGAATTTGGCTCCAAGGCCTCCTGAAGAAACCAAAATTCAAGGACACTCAAACCCTTTATAAAAATGGCATACATAACGTCTGCATATAAACTAAACACATATACACTCCCTATATACTTTAAATCATCTCTAGATGATTCATAGTACCTCCAAGAATGTAAGTGGTGTGTAAACAGTTGTTGCACTATTGTTTAGAGGACAATGACATGAAAAGTAAGTCTGCACATGTTCAGTACAGATGCAACCAATGTAGGTCTGATAACATTTTCCATCCGCAGTTGGTTGAATCCATGAATATGCTGAACCCCAAGATACAGTGTACCAATTATAATATGTGTGCACACTGGAAAAAAGTATATGTATGTAAAATGTAATACAGACAATACACATAGGTATGTATGCCCTGGACAGCAGTGGCTTTTAAAAGCTAAAGACACATAGAGAAATATTTCAATGATATCCCTGAAGGGTATAGCTTGCCAACCCTAAGAAAAGGTGTGAGTCATAAGCTTGAGGATTTCCATAGATAAAGTAAGCAGAAAGCTGGCATCATCAGAGGCAAGTTGGCTGAAAGGGGCTTCCCGTTCCACAGCGCAGGAGAGTAGAGATTCCTGAAGGGCAGCAGATATAACTCTAGTCCAATCAGTTCTCAGCCAAGGTCCCAGTTTTCATGTATCACACACCATTCTTGTGCATTTTCACAGCAGCCAGAATGAGATCGCATCATCCTTCTTTGGAAAGACTAACTCCCTTCTCCAATCAACAAGCCCCATATCTTCCCCAGTTTTGGTAACTCCATGCAACTCTCTTCTGCCACATCCCTAGATACACCTACTTTACCCTTGCATACTCCTCACCCATACTCCTAGACTGTCCAATAACTGATCCATTACGTCAGTCCCTGGCCACACCTCTTAAGCTGGACTTCTGCACCACTAGCATATCACCCTAAAGAAATTTCTTCATTACCCTTTCTGAATTTACCCTAATTTCTTTGCATGCTTGGCTACCAAATGCCCCCACACTAGTCTGTAAGACTAGTTCTCCTCCCATAAGAAGAAAATCTTTGCTGTTCTTGTTCACTTCCCTATCTTTGAGGTCCAGAAAGTGCCTGGCACATACTTATCAGCTGCAAAATAAACATGTTCGTGCACTGTGCTTGAGAAATATTACAAAGCACTGGAGCTGGAAGAGAATGCATGAGCAAGATGCCAACCCCAGGTTAGAACTGAAGAGAGGGAAAAGCCATGCCTCCTTTGTCTGAGTCTTTCAGGGACTTCAGCTGATAGTGCAGAGAAAATTAATTCAATGGTAAAATCTTTATACTACACCCACTTAGGTTTTAAAATGCCCCATTGAGTGATACTGCTCTGATTTCTAATACACTCGCTTGGTTTCTGTTCGATTTCAGAATCAAGGCTGAGTCTATGGATGAGCATTCAAAAGGTGCTTCAGTAACTTCAAATGAGGTGTGGTGAGGGAGGGGAGAGATGGCACATGCGCTCTCGTGATTGGCATAAAAGTGCTCTAAAGCTCAAGATTCTAGACACACATGCACACATGGTATTTCGAATTGCATCTGATGTTATGAAGAGCAACTGTATGGCACTTTGGAATTTCTGAGACTACCCATGGCTCCTGAGCTCCATGAATAATAGGGGATGTAGGTCAGTTAAGCCTCCTTGAAAATGTGGCCCTGTGACCCTGGATTTCTATTTAGAAAGGCCTAGATGCAGACTCACCGGTCCTTGACTGTTCTCAGAGCCTGTGGTCTTAACACCACAGCAAGTGGCATTTATAGATGAAAGAACCAAAATGCTTTACTGCAGGAGCAGGGTAGAAACACATTCCCCCATTCATGCACCAAGGATACAATAGAGAAAAACCCAGCAGTAGCTGCTATGCTGTCACCTACTGTAACGAGATTGATCTGTAGTGAAATAAAAGATAACACGATCCAGAGGAAATAACTTCTGTTTCCTCTGAGAGTGTCTGATCCTGTCAACTGCAAGCCTGCTTCCCTCTTCTGCCTGCCAGAGTGCACAGCAGCACAAACATGCAAGCACTCCTTCTGCAGACAGGCCTCCTCCCCTCACTGCCAGAGGCACACATTTGCAAAGCAGCGCCTTGCTCACCCGCCCAACGCCATGGCCAAGCCAAAGCCAGCAAGCTCTGGACGCCCAGGGCATGCTGTGGAGGGAAGGCAGGGCCACTCTGAGCTGTCACTGTCCATAACATGGGCTTCCGGAGATAACCACGTGGCACCTGTTCAATTGAAGCCACGTACTTTTCTGCTTGTTTACTTGTAGCATAACTCATTGCCTCCATGTCTCAGGTTAGAAGCACAATTCTGGCACAGTTTCAAGCACAGAAGATGTTCTAGAGATCACTGTTTTAGATTCTGTCTAAAAGATACAGCACATTGTATGGAGCATTATTTTCATAGGCAGAATGGTCAAAGACAAAGGTAAAGAGGGAGTGCCAGCTGGTGAACTCGTAACCATCATTTCTGAGAATGGGTCTCCATAGGAAAAGTCCTATAGAGCCAGAACCATGTACATAAGTCACAAAGGCAAATTCACTTCTCTCCACTGAAGTCCTAGTAATATCTTACCAGCAAGCTGCCGCCCACCGTCACACAAGGCAGTAGGTAGCGCTTGGCTTCTGTCTCCGGCAGATGCTATTAAGTCTCAATAGCCAGTGATTTGTAGATGATTATAACTTTTGCTCTGCATATCATTGCTACTGACAGGCAAATCCCATCAATCGAATGGCACAAGTGATGAAGAAAGGAGGCAAATCTGACACAGGCAGTCTGATAAGCCATTTTTCTACCACTTACAACACCCAGGAACATTCATCACTGTATGCAGAAAAGCCAAATTTGATACAAAGCTTTTCTAGTTCCTCTTCACCAGGGAGCCTGGGAACACATATTCTAGAAAGACTCTGTGTTTCAAGGAGAGAAACGTAATTCAGCACTAGGTGGTGTTTGCATTCCAGCTCATAGGAAAAAAAAATTCTCCTCCCAGAGCAGCTCACTGAACCCCCAATTTGTCAAGGAAGAAAACTCGCTGTAGCAACAGGCCCTGACAGCAGCACTTTCATTACATGAACAGCCATGGCACCTTTTCAATTTTGCTCATCTCTTAGTCTCTAGCCAAATGGAACTTATTACTTATAGCTTGTTGGGATTATGAATTATTTATAAAAGTAGGTCTATGACTCCAGACTCTTAAAAGACAATACAAGAGAACCCTCACTGTTACCCACAACTGTGCTTCCGTCGGAGAGTAGACATTCTCCATAACATGTACTGCAGGTTTGGGGTGAAGTAACAGTTGGGAAAACACCAAACCTGTAAGAGTATTTCGAAGCTATTTATGGAATGCCTGGATGTATTTTTAAACTAGTCACTTTTATTCTAAGCCTGCCTTGGTTCCCAGAAAGACGCAGCAGACATTTGCTACAAACACACTTCCTCGCTTGAATACAAACACGGAAGACCTGCCACTTTTACCCAGCGGTTTCAAGTGGGGATGAAAATGCAGCTCCCCCATAATGTGTTTCTGGAAGGCTCCAGGATGTCATGACCCATGAATCTTCTTCTGCCTCCCAGAGCACAGCGGCTTTGCATTCTACATGGAGACTAAAACACAGGCCCCAAGTTGTGGTGTGGAGTTAAATTGTGGTTTCCAGTTTCTAGAACATGGGATCTTGGCTGGAAAAACAGGTAACACTTTGCACAACCTCACCTTACTTTGATTCAATCGCAAACTCACTCAGGCTATGAAGCATAGCTGGGTTGAAGGGCACCAAGTGGCCGGCCAGCCAGGGTCTTGCCACACCTTCATATCAGTGACGTTTGCTCAGCAAAGACACTTCCACCAGCCCAGACACAAGAGCCCGGAGGGACAAGTACCTTGTCCCTGAGCCACGTCCGGAGATACCCGCTCCTTACCAGTCTCACCAATTCCACAACATCTTCCACTCCTGCGGGAACCCAGGAATAGATCCTTCCCCATTCACTCCTGCCCCAAGCGCCCAACTCTCCCCCACCCTCAAGCCCAGTTCAGAGGAAGAAGCAGAGGCCAGAGAGCACAAGCCCAGGGAGGCTGATGCCACTTCAGGTCAGTGTTCTTACAGTGATCCCTAAAGTCCACGTGACATGTCCCACAGAAAAGGCAAAGCTACATTAACATAAAGAACACAGCCATGGAATAGCAAGCAGAAGGCAGTAAAACTTACCTTGCTGAAAAACATCTGCCAGGAGAGAGAAAAAAATGGGGGCAGGGAGGGGAGAGAATGGGAAAAATATCGTTAATAACATTGAAAAGGACAAAGTGATAATCAGCGAATATATGCTCCATGCTAAGCATTCTTCATACAGTATTCCCTGTAAGGCGGGAGGCAGTGGCTAAGAGTATATGTTGTGGGAGAAGACTGCCTGGGTCTACATCCTAGCCCGCTGCTTTCCCAGCTCTGTGACCCACAGTTCCCTAAATCATAAAGTAGCTAAGCATGTTAGAAAGCTTAAACATGTAATGTCACATATTTAAGGGTTTAGATCACTGTCTAGTGCACAGTAAACACAAAAAATTAGTGGTTATTATTGATATTGTTATTTTCATAATAACCTTATACAATGGATTCTATTATCATTCTCCATAGATGGGAAAGATCATTCTCCATCTCCACAGATGGGAAAATTGAGGCCAGAGAGGAGCAAGTGAGGTTTAGGACTGAACCCCAGGCTGTGATTCCAAAACCACCTTCTTTCCCCACTACTAAGCTGCCTAGTTAATTTACAGATAACAAAAATGACAACAATGGCACATAAGAGAATAAACACAGAAAGGGCTTAGGGATATAGCTGCATATTTAAATCATATCAACATTATGTCTTCATAGTAAATCCTTGCTCAAGGTCTGTTAGAAAGTTAAAAAATATGATTGTATTTTTTAAAGGAAGATTTGAGATGCTGCTATATGCCAAGCGCCCTGGCACTAACAACATCTCATGAAAAGCCCAGAGTCACTAACATCCCCCTAAGAGTTACCACTAACGCAACTTCTAATAGCATAAATACACTTTGACTATCTGTCAATTTTGTAAAAATGGACTGATAAAGCCTCATTTTCTTTTTCCTGTTTCTGGCATTGTTGCTTGACAGCCATTATGGGAGCCATTCACACTGCGGCACATAGTAGATCATTCATTCTCACTGCTACAAAGAATTTCACTGTGTGACTGTACTATAATTTACTTCTCCACTCGAATGTGGTAGTTACTTGGATTATTTCAATGCTGCAAATTAAGAACTGTGATGAATGTTTCCATACGTACCTTTTGATGAGCGTATGTATACATGCCAGGTACTTTTGGACACCCTCAATGTACACTCGAGCCTGTCCTGTTAATAGTGCCCCTCAATCACCCCAAAAGTGTTCTCATGTGCTCACACATTCTCATTTAATAGCTTTAAGACAGAGAGGACACTAGGAGAGACATACACAGCACCACCACAGCAGGAGCCATTTTCTGCTCTGCTGGCGGGGCTATAAACTTGTTAAAAAAAAAAAGGTCTAAAAGGTAGTTGAATGATATAATACATACAGTGTCTAATATAGATGTTAAATATGCATTCTCTGACCCATCAATGCTACTTCTAGGACTTAAATCCAATGAAGTATAGTTATAAAAGAAATCCACAAGGATGTTAATCACAGCTCTTTTTATAATAGCAAAACACTAGATCTTGCCTAAACTGATTGTTAATAGAGAATCAAACCATTGTATAATCCACACAATGGATTATTATGCAGCCCTTTAAGTGGCTGAAAACTGTGTTTCTGAGTGAAAAATCCGACAGCAAAATAGAATATATGGCCCTGGTCCTGAATTTGTGGACCTTCCTGTATGTGTAAGGCTACAGAAGAACAGATTTGTGACAATGGGCACAGAAATATTGTTTATCATCAGGATGTGGGATTTGGGGTATTTTATCATATGTAAGATTTCTGTATTATTTTAATCTTTAATAGTGAAGATACTTTATGTTTATAGCCTGAATTTAAAACTAAGACTGTTTCATTTTAAAATTAAGAACTGCATTGTCAGTATCTAATTTTCAGCCGTCACCTGAAATATCAATTCCTGCAAGGTCACAAAAAGCCCAGGCCCCATGAATAGTGCAGATGAAACGTGCAACTGGTGGTTTGACAGACAGCAAGCAGAAGACCTATGGCTGCAGTTGGCATTCTGCGTGGACACACGTGGTCCCCACGAGAGGCATCATTCACAGCAATCCACACACAGGATAGATGCAGGGCAGCAGCTGTGGCACAGGTGAGAATGCGAGCTCAGGATTCTCAGGGCATTGGCTAAAACACCACCCTTTCTCCCACATTCAGGAAAGCCAATGGGCCCCACCACTGTAAATGGGCCACATTAGTGCCCATGCAGAGCAACTTGGACCCTGCTTAATGTATGCAGACGGCCTTCTGTATCTGTGAGTTCTGTATCTGCAGATTCATCTAAGTGCAGATTGCAAATATTTTTAAAAAGCTGTATCTGTACTGAACATGTACAAGACTTTTTTTCTTGTCATTATTCCCTAAGCAATACAGTGTAACAAGTATCTACATAGCATTTGCATTTGGCAGTGTAAGTCATCCAGAGATGATTTAAAGTATACAGGAAGATGTGAGTAGATTACAGGAAATAACATGCCATTAGATACAAGGGACAGGGCATCTGCAGAGTTTGGTATCCACAGAGAACCTGGGAACCAATCACTGTCAGATACAAACAGCCAACTGTACACAGTATTCTCTAGCATCCATGATTTATCACCAGTACCAATTTTGACCCAGCAGTAAAAATTTGACCTTATTTGACCAATTCTGCCCTTATTCCTTCCGGTTCTATTGTGTATTTAGCACTCACTGCCCACAGACCAAGAGAAGGAGCATGTGCAGTTCCCTAAATGTACTATTTTCACCTGTGCTTGCTGATTCGACCCCACAGTCTACCATTTACCCTCTGCCCAGCCTGCACACCTGGAGGAGCCTTCCTACTCTGCACTCAAATGTCACAGTCACTGAAGTCTGTCTCCACAAAGAAGAAATTCACTGTTTCCGCCTCTGTGCTCCGAGAGTAATTTGTTCATGTTGCAATTATAGCTCATATTATAATTAGTTATTTAGACCATGAGCTCCTGAGGACAAAAGCAATGTGTCTTAATCTCCTTATTGGGTCCTGACTGCCTGGCTGGCTTGGAAACAAAGCATGCGGTCTATTTCAGTCATCATCTGCTTCAACCCTCTCATTTCACAGAGAAGGACACTGAGTCTCAAATAAGTTAGAAATTTTTCCCCAGGTCACACATGGAGCTGAAGGCTAAGCCAGGACTACATGAGACACATTTAACCTTAATGAAGCACAAAAGCTCATCACTATTATTAGCAAAGTACAAATCAGAGATTTATCATTCCTCTCTAATGAATACAGACAAAAATTTCAAACCTTGAAAACATCAGTGAAATAAGATTAGTATTTCAAATACGGATCCAGTCTCGACATCCATCCAGAATCCTCAACTTCTTCACCACAGCTTTTGACAAGAAGCACTTCCTTAGAAATTCAGTACTTATTTGAATCATTAGAAAGTACCAACTGGTAGAGAGGAAGGAAATTCAGGCAGAGATTCAGTGACCTTATTCCTTCCGGTTCTATTGTGTGTTTAGCACTCTAACAGACAATATCTGATAGACTACTAGACTACTATCTATACCTTCTATTCCTCAGAACTCTTGGTTTTCATATAAGCTATTCTGGATTCTTTTCAAAACTCTTTTTCAGCCTTTTTACATTTGCACCTTTTTATTCAAATGTAAATTTTAATAAACACTAGTTTAAATATTGCAACAATTTTACACATGAGTTGTCTTGTAATTTACACTCTAAATTTATGTCTTCTGTGGTCTGTGGTATAAATCATTCCGTTCTTAGCATCATTTAACTGTTTGCTCTGTATAATAATGGCTTCTGTACCTTCTTCAAAAGTTTCACTTTTCTAGACTAAAACAGCTATCCAGCTCAGGTTTCAAGCTACAGACCAAAGAATGAAAAATAAGTGAAAAAAATATCGTTTCTGTACTGTTTGGCTACATTTTACCTTCCTGAAAAACTGTGGGCATCAGAGGATATTAGCCAAAAAACTATCCGTGTAAGAGTCTCTATTTTGGAGTTCAAGTCTGCTGCCCACAAGTCCAAACCATCAGAAATAGTCATTTACAAAAATTAAAAGGCCTTGAATTTGAGTGTGGTATTTATTCCCCTTTCAGTTTAAACACAAAGAATTATTTAAGAGTCAATCAGCTACAGTCTTAGAGCTCGCATTTCCTTGTTGATAACCAGGGCAGACGTAGTCTTATATCCATGCCACAGTATTGGGAAGGTTAAATCAGGTAACTTATACAGACATCTTCCCATCTGCTGCTGCAGAGATTCACTCTGAGAATAAGACAGGGCAATCTCCTCTGCCCTCACAGGAGCTGGAGTCACGCACGTACAGAGCTGGGAGTCGCAAGTGATCACTCCAGCCACAATCAGGTTGAGACCAGAGGATACCAGGGACACTTGTGCAGAGGAAATGAACTCCTTCAGACAAAGCTCTGCTCATACTCACTTCCCAAGGGAGGAAACCTCAACCCCCATCATTCACCATTCGCGTGAACAAAGAAAGCCTGTTACGCAGCCCCCACCCCCATCCCTGGAGCCCCTCTGGTCCTAGGGGTAGATGAAAGGGCATGTATAAGTTGGTAATTCAGAGGCGGGAAGAAGAAAAGGAGAAAGAAGGGGCTCAGCTCTGCCTTTCTTAGCCCTGATGTCCAATTTCTTCTGTTAGGAATGAGTGTACCAAGGCCATTTGCTCCTCCCCCACAGCTACTGAGAGATTCACGCCCTAGAGATCTTTAATGCACGGAGTCCTCCAGAGACAAGGGCCATAAAAAGACCAGATTATTTATTATTATTAATAAGTTATGGCAATTAGACTGGGTGATTCCTAAACGTTGCTGATTAAAAACTTTCTTGAGTGGTACTCGTCCACATGGCTAGTGTTTACCTCGATTAAAAATGATTTAACTACACGCTGGGTGAACCCCTCTCTTGCGCCCGGGTTAATAATTAGCAGCGCACTGAGCCACACGGGTTAAGTGAGTTGGCTCTCCTTTATTTATCTATTGCTTTGTTTTAT